AATATTACTAGAATGCACAGGCTGAGTCTTTGTCAAGTAAGCATGGTCTCCAATTTCGGGACCAGTCAGGAGGCGAATTCAGTGTGCGATTCCAACATAGTCACCTTGGTTAAGACCAGGTTGGATAAAATCTAGGAGTAGCTCGGATTTGACTGAAATTTTTTGTGTGAATACCCTATGGTCCCCTGAGCAAGAAAATACCGTTTTTTCGTAGCGGTCTCAAAAAATAAAATCTCTAGAAATTTTCGAAATTTTGTATAAAAAATTTTTTTTGCCTCAGATTTTCATGAAAATGATTTTCTAGACTAATGAAACTTTGCTGAACAAGAATATTAAGGAATTTTTTTAATTAAAAAACCTACAGTGCAGACTCCATATAGCCCGAGTCAGGGACATAGTCCCTGACTCATTAAGTCCGAGCTCGCTTCTAATTTTTTTCCGAATTGACCGACATAATAGCACAAACTTCCGCGTTGTGGATGGTCAAAAGTTTGTTAGATAGTTTCTACCATTTGGTACCAAATTTTTGAATTAGTTACAAATCATGTGCCTTGATCACCATGACCAGTGGGCTTCTTTAACATCATGAAGTTCTAAGCTGTATGCATGTGCTATCCAGCAGTGGTTTTCACTTTTTCAGCCTCCATATCAAATTTCAGCTCGATAAAACGATTTGGAAAAATCAGTATGGGTCACCCCATAGGGTCACTCAAGATAAAAAAATTTCCAACTTGAAGTCATTTTTATCTTGTATGAGCCATTAGCAACCTCTGTACCAAATTTCAGCTCTCTATAACAATTTTGAAATTTTGGTGCATAATACCCCATCACTTCGATGACCCCCACCGGTCAACCACTGGACCGATTTCACCCATCTTCGAACTCGTTTCCTAACTTTGTCCAATATGCATATGGTAAAAATTTCAAAATAAATAATTAAATAAAAACATCAGAGTTGCAAATTTACCCATTTACTGATCTAATCATTGCTTGTACTATGAACAATTTTTTAAATACCTATGGGAGCAATTATAACGCTTTGGTAAGTATTAATTAATTAGTTTCGATGATGATGACGAATGTGTGTTGTTTGGTTGTGAAAAATTGAGATGAAAATTTTGGTTTTGGAGAGAGAGTGGAGCTACAAATTCCGGGCCAAAGGTGCAGATGGCTCCACTCCACTCAATTTCATAAATTCCTATGTTTCCATACAAGTTACTACCCTTTGGGTTGAGTTGAGTTGCAAAAATACTTAAGCTCATGATAAAAGTATCATCTCATGTCTCACGTCACCCGTTAATCCTTGTGCGGAGCGCACTGCAGAACCCGACGGACTCAACGTGATCGTAGCCATTCACTTGCTTTGCCCAACTCGTGTTGAAGTGATTAATACACATCAACATTAATGATAACCTTATCTAGTAGGATTTAATAGAGAAGCGATCGACGTCGATCGAAGTAACAGTGGTAAGTCGATTATTTATATATATACTAGTACGGTACTTTCAAGTTCATAGTTAACAGTTCTTCACTAGTGGGTCTAATTCATTCATTCATTCCTAATTCATTTAATGGGCGTTGGTTAAATCCCTAATTGATGAAACATTGTTGTAGGTCGGATAAATGTCTGCTGCTCGGGATGAAAATAATGAGCGAGAAGCGGATGCCGTCAATTTTGGGACACCGAGTGAGTCTAATCAGCCGGTCATTGCCTGGTCACGAGAGGATATTTACAGATTAATTGGCCAGAGTAGCACCAGGCTGTCGTATATAAATAAAACCGATTTACTTAGCAAATCAGATATTAGGCAAAAGTTCCAAATTATCAACATTGATCAAAAACCCGTCGACTTCGTGAAATGCAAAAACTGCAACGCTACATATGCATGGACCAGTAAAATTGGTACTATATCACTTGTGCGACATCAGTGCAGCGACGTCGCTGGAAAAGGCCCCAAGCCAAGCAAAGACCAGCGGCTTATGACTTCTTTCGCAGTTAAGAGTATTCCAAGAACATCGATTGAAGAACTTAACAAGACAATTGTAGTTGGATTGGCTAAGGATTTGGGTCCTTAGAGTTCCGTACATAGAGAGGGATGGATTTTTGTTAATTGCCCAGAAACTGGTCGACTTTGGGGCGAAACATGGTAATCACGATATTAAAGAAGCCACTTACCATCGACCAACTTTAAAGAATAAATTGCTGCCAGAAATTACTTCGCAGTTAGAGGAGTCCATTCAGGAACTACTGCGGACGACGTTGTCCGAAACGAAACTGGCATTTACGACAGACATGTGGTCAGATAAATACAAGCAGCGGCACTTCCTGTCACTGCATGTACATTTCATCAGTCGAGATTGGAAGAAGAAGGCGCTTATGCTTGGCGTAGAAGAATTTGATGAAGAATCAAAGACCACAGCCAATATCAAGAATTTCATCAACACCATACTTACCAGATATTTTAGGGACGACACGGAAGAAATAATAAAGAAGTCCTGTGGCGTAACAGCTGGAGGGAGCAATTTCCTTGCCGTGTTTCCCACGCGATATCCTTGCTACTGCCACAAACAAAATCTAATTATGCAATGGACACTAAATCAAAAACCGCTTCCCTCAGAAAGAGAGATAATCGACAAAGATTCCAAAGGTCAACAAATAAAGCAGAAGAAATTAATCAATCTCCATACACACTGTCCAGCTATCAAGGACGTCCTTGTGCAATTAAAGAAGCTAGTCGAGTATTTCAAAGAGTCGGGCATTAACAAAAACTTGAAAATTTCCCTAAAGCAAGACGTGGAAACTCGCTGGAATAGCCAGGTTGTAATGCTGGAGTCATACCTAAGATCGGCAGATGAAGTCAAACAGATTTTATTAGAAAAGAAGAAGGTGGACAAAATTTCGAAAATTTCCGACGACGTCGTCGATAGTTTGGTTGACTTTCTGAAACCATTTCAAGAATGCACAGAGGCTTTAAGCGGTGACAAATACCCAACACTTCATCTTGTAGCCATATGGCATTGGAAACTAGTGCTCCACATGATTCGTAAAGAAACAGATTCAGAAGAGATGTCAAAACTGAAAGGACAAGCCCGTTTATGCTTTGAAGAATATTTTGTTGTTCAAACAATTCACTACTTCGCTTGCGTGCTGCACCCTTAATAAATCTTTTCTTAAAATATCGAAAAATGATTTTCCAATGCTAATCCTATTTTCTTACTAGTTACAGAAAGTTGAAATTTGCCGACGAGGAATGTCGATCTCGCGCGGTGGAAATGTTGAAGGGCCTTGTTCTTGAGGTCCAATCAACTCAAAGGGTCGCGGTTCGTCAACAAGCCCAGTCGACGTCAACTGCTGATGCGTCCAATACCCAACTTGCCGCAAAGAGAACCAAGTATACAGATTTTCAAGACTCGGAAGACGACTCGGATCATGACAATTTAAGCGAACTGGATAATTATTTCTCAATGCCGATGCCTAAGGGTTGGTTTATTTATACTTATTCACAAATGTCGCTTATTACAATGTGATAGAGATGCCAGTAAGCCGGCTTATTGAGTTGTGAGTCAAACCAAGCCGGCTTATTGAGTTGTGAGTCGAAACAAGCCGAGTCAGCTGAGTCGGGCTTGGGCTTTAATCGGGCTAGCCCGAGCCCGCCCAGGCCCAACGGGCTTTGGGCGGGCCGGGCTTTTGAGTTTGGCCTTTGAGTCGGGCCGGGCCTGGGCGAGCTTTACTTGAGTAGGGCTTGGGCGGGCTCGGGCTTTTTAGTTGAGCCCATGAGTCGGGTCGGGCCTGGGCGGGCTTTTCTTGAGTCGGGCTCGGGCTTTACTCAAAAGCCCGACTAATATTTTTCGTGGAGTTAGGAGTAATATGAGAGTCAAAAGTTTGGCCAAAAGCGCACCATTTGTATTTTATACTTGCAATTCACAATTCATTATTGTATTCTCATAGGATTTTCATTAAAAAGTAATTCCAATATCAAAAATTTTCAAAATGGAAATGATTGTTGTTATTGGTGTGAAAAAATTACTAGCAGGGTTGCACATTTAAAGTGTGAAAGGACGGAGAATACAAAATAAGCTTACTGTGCAAGACGATACATATTCAAAGAAGGTGAGGCTATTGGATCAAGCGAGGTCACCATATCCTGAAATTTTGGTGTGGCGCCACACAATTTCCATTGATTCAGAAAATTACTCCAAGGATATTATCAATCCCCGAATCACAAGCTAGTGATGAGAGAGTGTTTTTAAGCACCGGTTTAACGTTGACCGCCAGTCGCACTGAACTTAGGATTAGTGGCAGTAGTTTATCCAACTTTACATTGCTTCATAAAAACTACGTTTTTTGTTTACTAAACCTCATTGACACTAACAGTTTTGGGTTTATTTATTTTTGTACCCTGTGAAAATAATTTATTGAATACTAAACCTTTAAAATGTGTTTGTTGAATAATTTGAACTTCTTCATTTATCAATTCGTTTCATCATGCGTAATTTTGAACGCTCTACAAATTTTATTTTAATTGTATAAATAATTTGTCACGCCATAACAAAAAAGCCCGATTAAGCCCTATGGGCCCGGGCTCAAAGCCCGATGGGCTCGGGCCTGGGCGGGCTTTCTCAACGCCAAGCCCTATAGGGCTTGGGCGGGCTCGGGCTTTAGAAATCTGGACTTGGGCGGGCTCGGGCTTTTGAGTTTGGCTTTGAATAGGGCTTGGGCGGGTCGGGCTTTTGAATAGGGTTTTTGAGTCGGGCTTGGGCGGGCCGGGCTTTGACAATGTTAGGCCCGACTCACCTCTAGTGTCCGTGCATTTAACGCGTGTAGCAAATTATCTTTAATTAAAATCATTAATTAATTATTCAACTCAATTCAATTTATTAATGACATATAGCCTGCGTCCCTCATCATATACAGAATTTGGTTAGTAATTATTGGGTGTATAATTAATTATTACAATCGAGTTGGTTTAGGTTTAATTTGAATCATATTTTTATTTATTTAATTTGTAATTTAACATGGCTAGTTAAAACATTGGACCTTTAATATATTAACAATTTAATCGACTAATGATGCCAAATTTTTTATTGCAATTAATTTATACAAAACATTTATACTTCAAGTTGGTCTAAACTAGTATGTTTCAGACAAAGCAAACACCCTCCTTGACTTTTAATCAAATTGCAAATGAATGTAACTCAAATCCCTGACCAATTGCTTAACTGTACAATCAGCATACATATTTATGTGAAAAGGATGTTGCAACAAATTTTATCTAAATATTATCTCCTTTCATTTTATCAGCTACCGCGACACAAAGATCCTGTTTAAAACGTTCTTGATAATTTGCCTTTATCCAACCCCTCGTACAAATACACTCTTGGATTGTTGACGGCGACATTTTTTGCCTTTTTGGAGTTAATAGCGTTGATCCTGAGGAAAATAAACGCTCCACAGGGACTCCTGCACCTGCCGCCGTCAGAAAGTCCCTCGCCATTTTTGAGAGTGTTGGGTAGTCTGATTCGTGGTTCTAAAAGTACAAAAACATGACATTTTGGTAACAAAATGGGCGACATGTTTTCAAAAGGTTAATATTTACCTTCCACCATCCTAATGCACCATTGTCCAGTGCGTTCGGGCTTACCGTTGCGCGTTGGTTGCGAGAGGTATCGAGTAATCTCGTTATCATTGATATTTTGGCGTCTGAAATTGCAAAAACAAATCGTTGTCCTCGAATTCTTCAAACGGTTCTGGGTTGTCCTCCGGCTCACGAGCGTAGAAGGACTGCCAATACTTTGTAATGTCACTATTTACAAATTAATCGATTAAATTGTAACTCAAAAACAAAAATATCTGGCACAACCCTAATATACTTTTCAATATCTTTCGAATTAAATCGAACTGATGAGAACCACTCAGTCTTACATCGAGGGTCCAGCACTACATGAAACATAAAATTAAAGAATTTTAGATGTTTGAACATTTTTGGAAATTTTTTAATTTTTGGTAGCAACAATATATGAAAGAGTTATTTTAATTGAATTATGCTAAATTGACAAATACCAGTTCCAGCAATATACATAAGTCCTTTCGATGATGGATAGTATCTCTCCAGTTTATCATTGGCTTCTTTTGCCGCGTTTCGGAGCCACGTAGGAAATGTTCTTCCGGTTTTTGGGTCAATGGCTTTCAACTTCCGTTTTGCGTCTACCCCGTATTGTGAGAAGATTTTAGAGTAAACCAATGAGTAAAAGGAGATTGTGGGGAAATCCTGCTTCGACATAAGCTCCGTCATATCCTTGAAGGGCTAAATAATTCCAAAATGTAGAACTATACACCTATGTATGCACATGCATATCTTAATCTGTCACAGCAAGTAGGCTAAATTTATGCAAAAATTAAAATTAAATAGCCAAACCTGTAAGAAATATATCATATTGGATACCATTTTCCACTGTTCCGGAGTAAGAATCCAGCCAATTAAGTTGGACTCCATCCGAAGGGTGCACTCCAGCGGCTAGAATAATATTCAAAATTCCTTAGACGCAGTGACTGTTGAACCAATTTTTTTAAACCAGAAAATTTTAAATAAATTTGCGGCTCTAAAAACTGAGTTTATAATTCTGCGCTACAAATTTGATGTCAAGAAGTTAATTAATAGAATGACGGAGAGCTTTTAAGCCAATTTCGATAAGTTCGAGTAACTTATCTGAATGATTTCTTACTTCCCGTAGCCGAGAAATAAAGAAAAATGTGATTTTGAGAATTTGCTGATGACTCGTCGAGCTCACCATTAACCTCATGGGTTTCGAACTGCATTATTTAGCGATGTTACCTTCTGGTATTCTAATGCCCTCTCCATCATTAAAAGTGTAGAGTTCCATCTCGTCCGAATATCCAAAAGCAATTCCTTTTCCGCTAGTCCAAAAATTCTGACTTCTGAATTGTTCCCTCTGCTGAGGTGAAGCTCGAACGAATCAGACGCACTTGTCAAGCTAACACAACAATTAGGGAATTATTAATTACATTTTCTTATTCTTGTATTTTAGTCGACAACCTTCGTTAGAACAGGCACCATTTCCCCATCTGATTTAGGGTCGAGATCATAAATATTTGGTTCAACCTCCGACATATCCCGTAAACTATCCAAAGCCACCTGACAGACCAGATTTAGGATATGTGCCAAACAGCGAACGCGAAAATCATCAATGTTGAAGTCAACATTCTAAGAAAATTATATTAATTAGAATACAATTTGTATGTAATTTTTTACAAGATTAATTAATCGTACCTTCTTCAGCATAAGTCTCTTAAAATGGGAGAAAAAAGTTGTCATGTTGGAGGCATTGTCGCTTGTGATGGAGTGCACCCTATCTATTAAGTTAAAATCTTCCAGGACTTTGATAAGTTGGGTCGCCAAGTTTTCTCCGGTATGAGATCCATTAAGAATGGTTAAATCAAGGGGCAACGATAAGAGTTCCCATTCCCTTGTTATTCCTTGAACGATTACACCTTGGAATGCATATTGATTGGAAGAAGTCCGACAATCCAGGATAAATGAAAGTTTCCCTGGAATCTCCTACAAATAAATATAAATATGTACACATGTAAGTGTAGATTTTGTTAAATATAATTGTGACATGCTCAGAAATCAACATGAAAATTCAGGATTATGATCAAACTTAATAAATAAGTTTATAAATAAACTTGTTCAACAAACTTATTTATGATTATAAGATGTATCATGACTTTTCAATTTCACCTGCAGTTTGGCAGTGAGCTGCTCTTTTTCCGTTTGGTACCTAATGGAAATTTCGGAACGCATTGTTGTTCGACCAGGAATTTGTATGTCCGGGTTCAACAATCCCAAAAGTCGTCGAAAGGACGGCTCCTCCACAATAATGAACGCTTGGTCCGTTTCCAGCACAAATTCTGTCAGGGCATTGACCAGCCGTTCTTGAGTGACCTACTCAAAATAAATAAATGGAAATGAATTCTATTTGAAATAACTCGAAAACAAATGGTATAATTATTTTACAGGTTGGTTAGGAGCAGAAGAATTAAGAGGTCGTTTGTTGAATCTCGGCTCTTTGATTCTTGTATTTCTGACGGGTGATTCGATTCCATGTGCCTCTTCATATTTGAGGTGACCCCTGCACTGTTTTTATACAAATCTCTATATACATAGGACAAAAAAGTCATTGATAGAAATTTTGTGTTAATGAGACGATTAATGTATTTATAGCTTATGACATATTCTGCAAACTTACGAGCAATATTTACATGAATATTGTGGTCCGCTCGGCGTTAAACAAAAATGGGTAAACATCTCCGATCTTAGCTTCCGGTTCCTAACTTCCGATTCTCGATTGTCAACACAATCAGAAGTTGGGTTGGACTCAACAAATGATGGGGAAGTGCCGTCATTTTCTATACGTAAAATATAAAACAAATACAATACAAATGATGAGGATTTATATTTTACTAACAGTACAAAAATTATAGTAAAGCTGACTTGAAGAACTTACCCATTTTAATTAACTTGTTTAATCAAGACAGTGAAAATAATCTGCAGCTGAGTTAATTAAAACGCAGATTTTCGCGGTTTACTGTACTGGGGTCTTGATTTTACGAGTCGAAATTTGAATATCGAAATCCTGCAATTTATGAATTAACTCAATTAATTTCGGGTGTGCCAAGAATTCCAACCAAGCAGGGTGTAACCAAGAAAAATTAAATTTAACAAAGTTGGGGCTATAAGTAAGAATTTAATTTTCTAAAATCTTGGGTACAACCAATTCAGAATAATTGGATTTTGACACAAAATAATCGAATTGACCCATGTTTCAATTTTATTATGGTTCATCTATTTATTAAAAATGCTTCATCTTTTCTACAAGATTATTTGGTGCACCCTGTAATTCCTATGAATTTTCAGTTTGAGTCATTCTTGCAATTCTTCACATCTTTTCAAAACCAATAACGTTTTGAAAACTTTGAACCCTTCACACGCACCAGGCCCATTTATACCTACTGGGCCCAGGCTAAGTGTTAGTAGCTAATAACTTTAATACCGCTGGAGATAATGAAAATCTGATAACTGCGTTGGATTCCTCGTGCGATTTGGCATAAATACCATAATTCAGTTTTTAACTGTTTGCAAAGCATATCGGCAGAGAAAATCTAGAAAGGACACGGGTGACGGTAATTTTTCACCAAAAAAATGGGAAGATAAGCGAAATAGCGAATTTGAAAAATGTGATAGGAGTCAAACGTGCACTTGAATTTAGCCCAACTGACTATAAAAACGTTTATTGGGACCGGATCGACTAAGAACAGTCGAAGAAAGATTTTTTGATAACCTCACCACGCCCATCGTAAAGGCGCTGAAGGATAGAAACCAAGGAAATCCGCGAAATTCCAACCGAAAATAGCCTCAGAGCTGACCTTGTTGACGCAGATTATCCAATGAGTGCTCAAACTGAAGCTTAGGCTTAGGGCATTAAAATGTAGTACTTGCCACCTCTGGATAATACCCAGAAAGAAAGCCCTACTAAAGAAATGAAGGGCTCTCCTTAAGCGGTACGCGCCAAAAAAGAGGATTCTTTTTACAAATGAGAAGATTTTCACATCGGGAAAATATTTTAACAAACGAGTTGACCTGATCTAAGCAAAATCGGTCAAATATATCCTCTGATATAGGCAAAAGATCAAAAAGTCACATTATCCAGGTTTTGTGATGGTTTTGGCAGGTTGGAGCTAATTTGGGTAATTCCTGCACATTTTGTTGAAAATGAGAGGAAGGTGAAGGAATAAAATTTCTCAAAATATATTTTTAAGTTCATAGTACATCCCTTAAGTGAGATCCTATTCCATGAATTCGGCAGGACTTTGCAGCAGAACTCAGCACCAGTGCATAGGGCAAAAAATGATGTCAGCGCGGCTAAAAAATCAAATTCCAAACTTTATCTCCGCTTGGAAATTGTCATCCTCGTTGCTGGATTTGAATCTCTGGACTATGAAAAATGGTCAAAGTTATGGGCAAATGTGTGCTCTAAGCCTCGTAGAAGCCTGAAAGCTGTAAAAAATTCTTTGACCACGAAAAGGAACAATTAGCCTACGGATTCCGAGCGTGCTCCAATCGAGGGCTGTTGGCCGCGTCTTCAGCTCTGCATTAATGTTAGGGGTGGAAATTTCGAAAACCAAAAATTGTTTTCCACTTAGAGATTAACTGGCTTTCCATTAAAATTTACTAGAAATTTGTAACACATAAACTGTTGAAGCTACAGCGTTTCAATCTACTAACACTTTACTTGGGCCACCAAGTACGAAGATCAATAAAATGTGTTGTATATATATATGTAAAAAATCAGTACAGCTTTGTTTAGCCCGAAGCAGGATTAGTAAAACCGTATTTGTCCGTAGTTTTCTACATATAAAATTATGTGCTACTATTTTACATAATACACTATTAGTGGAGGTCGCCTCTATAGCCCCTCCAGTTAATTTTTGTTTATATGTATTTCAAGCCATATTATTTCATGAGAAAGCAGTAAGGACCTCCGGTCCAAATATCAGCTTTCTATGTAAATTTCTAAAAATCGGTATGGGTCACCCCATAGGATCGGTCTAAATAAAAATTTTACCAATTTCATGTCATATTCGTCCATTAGGACCCATAAGCAACCTCTCCACCAAATTTCAGCGCGATATGACGATTTTGAAAAATCGGTATGGGTCGCCCCCTAGGGTCCCTCAAGATGAAAATTTTTCCAACTTGAACTCATTTTTATCTACATATTAGGAGCCATTAGCAACCTCTGTGCCAAATTTAGCTTTCTACAGCGATTTTAAAATTTTGGTGCATAATGCCCCACCCACTCGGATGACCCCCACCGGTCAACCACTGGACGGATGTCGCCCATCTTCGAACTCGTTTCCTAACTTTGTCCAATATACATATGGTAAAAATTTAAAGTCAATCGGTCAACTCGTTCGAAAGTTATCGAAAGACAGATGGACGGACGGACGGACGGACATGACGATTACATAAGCCCTGGTTAGGGCTAAGAATGACGCATTTTTAATAGATTTTTTCATAAGGGAATTACATTTCGTATATATTCGTTTATATTTATTACTTATTTATATTATATTAATTAAAAATTCCCTAACTATTCTTCTAATAGAAGTGCCCTGAATCGTCAGGTTGGCCTTGGAGTGCGGGTTGTCGTTCGCTAAGCATTTGGGTGGTTTCCACCCTTTCTTCTCTCCGGCAGGATCCACATTTCGCTAGACATCCACATATTCCCAGAATCACGGAGAATAATAATCCAACCGGAATATAGTAAGATCTTGTTTTTTTGACGCGGTAACACACATCGTAGCGACATTCGTCCCCCAACTCGCAGCAATATTGACCACAACAAGTAGTTAACGGTAGGCAGCAACCGTTCTCCTTATAACAACACGTGTACATTCTGCTCTCACCACAGCAATATTTAGAACCGTCATATTTCTTGCAAACTGTCTGCATTATGCCGCAATTTTCCTAAGTAAATACATAAAAGTTGTTACATATTTTACCAGGTTGGAATAATTTACTGTGGTTGAAAATTTCTCTTTGAAATATCTGGAAAACTGGGTATTTTGCTAACAAGGAACACTCACGACCTGTCGTTTGAGTATAGGTTACCCACCATGTTTTTTAGAATCTACTAGGACCCCAGATGAAGGATCCATTCATATTTCCGTGTAAAACTCATATTTGGCGCCGTGGCGTGGCGCCACATTCGCCAAATTTGAATGTTTTTATTTTTAAAACCGCCATAACTTTTGAAATCCTGGACGGATTTTGAAAAATTTTTGATCAAAATTATCGCAAAGGGTTCAGCTTTCGATTTCCATGAAGTTCTTTAAAAAATTAAAGTTTTCAAATTTTTGCAAACTTTCCAAATTTTAAAAATCCTAAAAATATTTCAAAAATTAAAATTCCTTACTTTTTAATTGTATTCTTAAAATGTCGACTTTTGTGATCATTTTGAGCATAAAAATTTGAAAGTCCGGTGTAAATTGCAAAAGTTATGGGGGTTTGAAGTTGGCCGAAAATTCAGATTTTTAAGTTTGGCGCCACGCCACGGCGCCAAATATAAGTTTAACACTGAAATTTGAATGGATCCTTCATCTGGGGTCCTAGTAGATTCTAAAAAACATGGTGAGTACCCTGGACTCAAACGACAGGTCGTGAGTGTCCCTTGTAAGATCAGGTATCATTTTATTCTAATCTTCATACCACATTTAACATACGTTACTATCGCTTAGTGAAAAAGGTATCACCGAAGTTTGATGGGGTGACAAATGTGCAAAGACAAATGTGCAAACGATAAATGTGCAACCTGACAAATGTGCAGCCCGATAAATGTGCAAACGATAAATGTGCAACCGATAGATGTGCAGGAATTTTTCCAACAAATAGTGCAATATATCTTGATATAATTTACACTTCAAATCAAATTACATCTTATCAAAAAACTAAGAATTCTGAAACATTAATTTTGTGGTGAAGCTTATGAAGCTGGAGATCTTATAATGCAGATTTTATACTTATTAAATATTACTAATCATCATTATAACGGGGTTGACCCCTGTCAATTTTATAATAAAATTCCCGTGCCGAATCACTGTAATGCTAAATTTAGCTAGTGATAATTAAACTTTAGTTAGGGACACCCCGCGGGGACATAATTTAAAATAACAGCAAATAAGTAAATCCCGAATTATTTCATTGAAATTTAGAATTTTTATATGTACATAATTCCAGCCTATACGATAGACTAAAATTCACGAATTCACGAAGATGTATGTACCAGGAAATTTATGCACCATAAAAATATAATTTAGTAAAATATTAAGTTAACAATAAATTAATACTGCTCAATATAAGATCTACAGCTTCAACAGACATCATACGGGATGCCACCACAAAATTAATGTTTCAAATTTTAGTTTTTGAGGAGATGTAATTTGATTTTATACAATGAAATAGTGTTTTTTTCGCGCTCTAACGATTTTCAAGTTAGATACCTTAAAATTTGCGTAAAATTGAGTAGATCAAAAATCCGTAATAAAATTGGGGGGGGCCCATTGGTGGATTTTGAGATCTGAGCGAAAATGTGCGAATTTTTTGCAAATTTTGGATTTTGACTGAAACTAGTCCAACTTTTAGTCAAATATCGCGGGAAAAAATTATTTTACACTACAGTCAAGAGCAAAACTTTACGACATATGGAAGAGACTTTTGGGACAACACATTGTGCTTATGGCTGTCCCAAAAGTCTCTTCCAAAATTAATTCTTTCAATTCCTTGTAGTTCCTTGAAAAAAATTCGGCGACAAAAATAATTTACCACGTCACCCCCTACTTTTGCACGCTTTATTCAATAAAAATTATATCACAGCATTAAAAAAATTATTCGGAAAGGTACGCGGTGCAAAACTTTACGGCCTTTAATTCCCCATTTGAATAACATGTCCCAAAAGTCTCTTCCATATGTCGTAAAGTTTTGCTCTTGACTGTAGAATTTGGCCGCTGCCTCGATTTTGGACACCAATTTTCCTATGTATTGAAGTTTGCAAAATAATTGCATTTTCCGTATTAGAATGCCACGATCGAATTTTGGAATTTTGGTTAGCATTTTAAGTTAATCCATGGGTCTATTGATCTAGCGGAATCGCTAGATACAATTCGTTACTTATTCCAAATGGTTAAACCAACTGGGAATGTTGTGAATAGTCGGCTGTAGCCGTAAATTTGGTACCGCAGTTGCAACACATTTTGCAACAAATTTGAACGAAATCTAAATTAAAATATGAGTAAGGAGTTCATGTTAATGTTAACAGATTTCTGATATGTCCTGCTGCCAATTCAGAATTTTGAAATTAACGCAAAGATTCGTTAACCACTGAGAATTTTGTTAATGCCGCGTGGTCTTGTTTTTATTACCTTGCAATTTTTACCGTGGAGAAAAGTGGAGATTAAAATATTTAATTTTTTTAACTTCAAAACTACTTTTACTTACTTTTATTTCTGATAATAGGAAACAATTGGTAGATATATTTCTCTGGTTAAAGTTGCGAGTCAAGTAGACACACACAGTGATTATAAAACTTGTAAGACTCCTTTCAAATAATTGAGATAACTAATAGCTATGTACGTACGTATGTAGTTAAGATTGGACACATTGGAATTTATGTCGAAAAAGTGGGATCTAGATAATTATGCATCGACACGATCAGTATGCACCCAAAATAACATGACGTATTTCATCTTTTATGTGCGCTTCATGCCAGTCAGACAGGCCTGATCCCATACAATTATTGAGGCATACCTGTTCACTTACATTCATGTGACTGATTATGATAGAGAATGATAGTGAATGAAAATGAATTTACTCCTATTTGAATGAAAATGAGTGAAACATTCAGTCATTTCAGATGAGTGACTGTAAATGAAAGGATTTCTCACCCCTTTAATTTTTTCACCCTATGTTTAATAAATGGGGTGAAGCAAGAAATGAAGTCAGATGAAGTGAAGTAAAAAGTGTCATTTGCAACAATAGCAAAACAAAAAAGAGAGGATGGCGGGCGTACAAAGTTCTGTTCATAAAATTTTATTTTATCTGCTAGGTAAGCTTTCAGAATTTTTTGCGACTAATAATCCTGAATGAACAGTAATTTATGTCAGGTTTGTGGCAGAGAGACGCATACAAATCCAGAAATTGCTTATTTACATTGGCATTATCAAATAAATAGGCGCAGTAAATAAGTCGTACATATTTATATAGAATATACCTTCACAAACGAAATGTAACCAAGAACCGTGTACAAAAAATATATTCTTTTAGGTGCAATCTTGCCCCGTTAGCCGTGTCAATTTAAGCTACTTGATTGTACTTTTCGATACACACCCAATATGATAGGTTAAGTTTATTTAGTTTTACCCCATTTTTAGTTCACGGACGGTAACGATAAGCCAATTGTTATAGTGTTTTTAAGGTCTTTAAACGAAAACCCAAGTGACCATAACCAACATGGCCTTTTTCAATCCAGGGGTGCATCTTAGAACCTGGCCCTTCTTTTGACCCCAAGGTTGAAAACGTGGTGAAAATTTAACCTCGGAATGCGTATCGGTTCGAAAGTTAGACTGACGAACGGACGGACACGACAAAACCATATATACAGAGTAATATTTCCCTCATTCTTAATAACGAATCTGATCGGTTTCATAAGTTATTATTTTACATTTACTGTCCACCCAATTCGTTTGCATCCAAGGACATTACGAGATTTTATAACCATTTGTAATCTTATTCTCAAGTTCAGTCTTTTCCTGATTCTTTGACCTGATGTACATGTCGCCGTCTCAATTATACAAATATTTTATCTTACTTAATATGTACTTCTCAATTTTACCTTTCCTAATTGTATGAAATGACAAAATACCGATATGATAACATAATGTGTCTCCTTACTTCTTATCAAATTATCCTAATTCAATTAACCTTCAAAATGTAATTTAACCAATGCTCAACCAATATTCTTTGCCACTCTTCTCAAGCTTACCTTACGAGTCACATCAGCCCAATTCAATTTAAGTTCTAACCATTTTTATGTATGACAAGGCTTGTTTTTTAAACTGAAGTAAAACACATTGAGCAAAATTAACTTAACAAGCTGTCCGAGAACTCTTAATTTCCTAAAAAGTCTGTCCTTCTCAAAACCACGCCATCATCATCACAAAATCTTCCATCCTCAAATCACACCCACATCAGAATCCAACGAATTTTTCACACATTTACATAGGTTTCGTGTGCAAGAATCTATTACTATTTATTGATAATTCATGTGAAAGAAGGACAATGGAAAAGGTGCGATGTGTCTTGTGCATATAGTAAATTCCGATCGATAGTCAGGTAGCCTGTCTTAATACTCAAGTTATACAACTGAATTTGAAACCTTATGATTATAACGGAAAGTCGCAAATACCGTATAATTTTTTAAGTAAACAGCAATAATATCAAGACTATATTAGAATATAAACTACCGTAAAACCTCTATGTATAGTCCTCTTCTAATTATAACCGGTCTCCAAATATAGCCGGGTCTAGAGACCAAGATTTCAAAATTTTCGCCGGGTCTATAATTATGACCTGTCTTGTCCGCTGTGTCCCTGTTCATAGTCCATTAAAGAAAAATGTTGCACATTATGCCAATCAACGAATAAGTGGAACTACTAATTTTTTCCTATTAATTTCAGGTTAATAATGGATATAATCATGACAGATAATTTAAAAAACCTGCTAAACTTGGTTTCAAGATGTAGATTAAAAGTGAATGGGTTACTTATGGCTTATCTTGCTAAATTAGAAAACTCAAATTGAGTCAAAATGAATTATATTTGATTTTGTAACATCTAAAATTTTTGGAGCAACAAAATTTAGCCGGGTCTCTAATTATAGCCAGTCTCTAATTTTAGCCGGGTCCGTGACCCTTAGTTTTGGATTTTAGCCCCGGCTATAAATAGAGGTTTTACGGTACTTACAATGTAGATCTCCCAACGTATTCTTACAGATTTGGATCAAACTCGCGGTCACAAATATAATTAGCATGAAATTTGTAAATGACAAGATCTACCAATGATAAACTTTAGCGGAGATACAATTTGCATATGTAAATAGAGGAGAAAACGCACCCCTAAAGCCGATAAATTTTTCATTTTAAAAAATCTGCTATGCATTTTCCCCTCTTTTTATGCAAATATCTCCGCCAAACTTGCGCATTTGCAAATAGTTCCATTTTCAAACTTCGTAGTAATTGTATTTATGATCGATTAACGGTAGATTTCTCCAAATCTGTGAGAATACGTTGGAAGACCTGTATTGATAGTGCGAAAGCATCTCTAACTAAATTATCTTGAGATTCTAACATGCCAAATATACTCAAGGTTATTTTCAGCAATGCAAATTGTATGAGTTTCCGTGGCATCTGTTATGTAACTTTACTCATAAGCAAATTGTTCCGTCGAGTCATTAATAATCATTTTTTATAGTTTTAATTTTCATGAAAATATTAAGTATGTATGTATGTGAAATTATTTTATGTCGATTTTCATGCAAGTTTTTAGTATGCAGTGTAATGTGAGAATGTTTAGCGGATTTTATGAATTTGTTCTCGAATGTTCGATTCTATTTTTAGAACATTCTTTCTTTGTCTTTGGGCAGTTCGAGCCCGCAGTTTTTTAGTAAGTAAGCTTTTGTCCGTGTGCGAGTAAGCACGTATATTCGTGTAGAATCTCTTGTACTGTACACATCATTCCTCTCCGGTTTAATAGTGTCAGTTGAATAAATACCGTAATTTTGTTATGATAAATGTTTGGTCAACCCAGTGCAATAATTTACAACTATTAGCACTACCACCTGAGTTATCGCGAGAAGCACGACCGCACACAAATGTAATCATAATCAAAATCCAAATTCGTACCCCTTCCCTGATTGGTGGAGCCAGAAAGGTGGGGACCGATCAGAATGCATGAATGCCACGGGAAATTCGACGGAACAGACTTTATAATGTCGAAATTATAATACAGACATATTTATAATTGTTGCAAAATAAAAAAAAGCCGCACATTTTATGATTGGCAATCGTATGTATTAATTGTGGTTGGAGTTAACTTTATTTATTTTCTTTCGATGGTGTAAGATAACTTCGTTTAATTATTACTTATTCGAAATTTGGACTTCATTTACCCATCTACTTCATATCATTATTTTTAGGAATGTGCATAATTTCTTACCAGATTATTTTTATAAAAACTTAGGATTAGACAGATGATAATTACACATAATAAAGCCGTTTGGAGTTATCTCGCTGAAAAGAGAGTGGATCGCTTAATGCACTCGGTGGTTGAATTCATTTAAATAATTCTGAGGTGGTTCATGACATGCGGCGTTCTCATGCTCACGAGCTAATAAATATATTGCATCAATAACATAAGTACATGTATGTACTTATCACGTATACGTGATAGTTCTTAAGACAATCCTTTACATTGAAAATATCACGATTCTTAGATCGAGAATATGGGAAAAGCTGAGATTTCGTCTTTCTCTGACTCAACCACATGCTTATGAGTGAATGAATGGATTGCATAAATCTCTAACACCGCTTAATTTCTCGTCCCGGACCATGACCACTCTATATGTACATATATGTAACGTGCCCAGGTTAATACATTTTCTTGTAGTCAATCATACTCGTGAAAGGATTACATAAATCAGGAATCATAAAATATTATATTTTCTGAATTAATACCATTTATTTTCGAGTAACTAGAAGCATCTGCAATAAAAATTGTGAGAAAGTGTGATTTTGCTTGCATGCAGGATGTAACTTTACTCATTTTTCACAGTGTAGCTACTGTTGCAAATCCCACACCTTAGTTAAGGTAAATAATACAAAATCTAGTTTTTATTAATTAACTTTAATTTTACACTATTGTTAATTTTTTACGTACATGACTTAAATACATCCAATTTTTCCTTTTGTTAGCGCATGTATTTTGTGAAATATCCACGCCATGTAAGAAGCTTCAAGCACTTCAAATACGCAATAAGAATCGTAAACTTAATTCCACTCTATAAGCAGAATCGGATTTCAAATACAAATGCAGGTAAACTAGCCACTACTGCAACACTCCAAATTATGATGAATGTGGAAAATGCTCCGTCTAATCCAATGTCTCTGACTATCATAGGATGCTCATTGCTCGCTGGTTTCCGCGAAAAATGCGCCCTGCTGATCACTTCCTGCTCGACACGACCTTGAATTCCAGTCTCCACCAGGGACTTATAATAAAAGGGTAGTTTTAAATTTCTTACAAGTCTGAAGATCACACCGTGGAATGATTCACGTAAAATTTCCTTCCCCTTGTAAAATTTATGCCACGGGTATTTATTCTTGAGGAAATTGTACTCAGCCTCGATTTCATCAGACTGAGCTATGAAAACGGTTTTTCCACATTCAATCAGTTCAATTTCGATGTTTCGTTGCACTTTCGTAATATTGGTGTTGATCGTGAAATTAACATTTTTAGGGTGGTGAGAATGTATTGGCTGAAACAAGT